ATATATATATATATATATATATATATATATATATATATATATATATATATATATATATATATATATATATATATATTACAAGTGCACCTGGTTAAGTTAAAACATATATATTAGGTTAGGATATATGTCGAATGAGATAATAAAATACATTTTTATATAAAAATAGAACTTAGTTTGATAGCAGTCTGCGATTGGTATTGTCAATAAAGGTTCAAATTACAAAATAATTTTTTTATTATAACAATTGTTTATTGATTATTTTAATACAATAAAATGCATTTTACAATACATTATCCTTGTTTATCCATGAATTGTATGAATTGCTAAATCCCGACCATTTCACGTAAACCTTGTTACTTTCTCTGCGTAATACTTTTTCTACCATGTATACATCAGGATTATTAACACGATGCAGTTCATGTTCGTAGAATCCTCCAGCGACAGGCTGTTCGCGAAAATCCTCGAGCAGATAAGTTACAGGGTTAGTTGTCTGTAATTTGGCAATAGTAAATACTTCGGTTGTCCAGTTCGGTGTGTAACGCTTCTCGAAGACAGTCTTGAATTTGCTAACACGTACATGATTGCCCACTTTGAATTTAGCAGGCGCTGCAATTTTTACGTTGCTGTACACTGTATTCAGGAGCTTATCGGCGATCGCGGGGGTAACATCGATAGGACGCATTCCGATGTTTACATCCATTGTACTGCGATACGAGATTCGGCAGCGCATCGAACCATTTATAGGTTCCGTTGAATATAAACATTTTCCATATATTATTTTTTAACGTACGATTGAATCGTTCCACAACGGAGGCCTTCATTACTGAGTACGAAAAATAATGATTGATGTTGGGTTTCTTTATTAGTTTCTGAACGTTCGAGTCGTTGCTTTTCGTTTTTCCGTTTGTTAATCTTTGATGATTCCTTCACCATTATGGAATGACTCTTCTCGTGCTTATGTCTATGTGTATACTGATTTAACTGTAATATTGCATTATTTATTTATCTTTTTCCATAGATTTATTTTCTTCTACTTTCGCATAATATTTTTTGTTTTAGATTTATTTTTTTTTTCTGTCATATTAATATTGTTCTTCTTGTATTTAATTTCTTGTATCATATCAACTAACTGATGTTTTGACGAAGATCATTCATACTCTGTATGTTTTTCGCCCTGATTACTTCCTGTTAAGTTTTCAACGTGTTACTATTCTTCTCCAATCGATCTTTCAACGTTTTAATATTCTCTTCCAGTCGATCTTTCAACGTTTTAATATTCTCTTTCAGTCGATCTTTCAACGTTTTAATATTTTCATTCACATGTTTTGCGATCTGCTCTCTCCACACTTTAAAATTCTCATCCACATAATTTTTGTGTGCAGCGTGATTGAAGGCTTCCGGCCACGTTACATGTCGTATTTTGATCCCTTTTGTATCAAAAAATTTATGGTCGGCAGATACAAAGAGTATTATCTTGTACATATCGTTTGCTCGCAAAGTCGCGCAAACTATCAGTCGCAAATTTTGTGAAACGCTCTTCCACATATTGTTTGGTTGCAACGTCACTATCGGCTTCCGGTTGCGCATACATGTTGAATCTTGCGAGACTTTGGGTCAAAATC